TTTTTTTTTTTTTGAAAATTTCATGTTTTGACCCAATTTTGCATGCAATATTAAATTACAAAAACAAGATTTTCTCAAACAGCTCAAGATTTTCTTTAAACTTTGGGTAAGAAGTGCTAAATGTACTTTATGAGATGTTTTACATCAGTCTCCTCAATTTTTTCAAAAATTACAAAAATGCATTTTTTACTTTCTCATGTTAATATTTACAAGTACAAGTGCTTGAAATGTCAAAGTTTATCGAAAACTCAACCGCTTTCTGTAAGAAATGAGCTCAAAATTCTGCATTTTCAGAAACGCTCAAACGCCATTTTCTCAAAAATGGCTCCCATTTTTTCCCCTTCAAATTTTTTGAACAGATGGGGCTAATCACACTTAATGAGGTAGTCCATTTTGGAGTATATTCTAATTTTTTTCAAAAATCACAACTTTTTTGAAAGATCTCTCACGCTGTTAATATGCTCATTTCCAGCAATTTGTAAACATTTGTATTTGCGAGTTGAAATGCTTCAAATTTCGGATTTGCAGTAGTGCTTAAACGCCATTTTCTTAAAAAGGTTACAATACCTTCCCTTATATTTTACCACATAGTGGAATTGTAAAGATCCCAACGCATTGTTGCCAACATTTGAAAATATAAAAAAATTGTATTCGGGCGATCTGCTGGTTTTGTACGAAGTGCGGCGTTCACTTGTACTTGAATCACCCCCACCGCGTGCTGTAAGTGGAAGATACCACCGGGAAACTAGTCCTGCCTGGTAGTGCTCCCCAATAACAGAAGGGTTTCGACCACATTGGCGCAATTGATTTTGCAGCATGTGGAATCTGACACCACAATTTACACCGACTTCTGGACGGGTACAGCCAGCAGGATCAAAAAAAACTTTATCCATGGAGCAGTGAACCACTCTCTTCACTTAGTGGATCCTGCAATAGAGATTCATACAAACTATATTGAATCCAGTTGGCGCCCCTTTTAAGAAGACCCCGACGGGGTGTTCGCCACGAGGACATGGCTATTATATGCACTCGGCCGAGTATTTATGGCGCTAAGATTGCTAGACTGCGCCGAGATCCATTTTGAGCTATGGTGGACGACTTAAGAGAAACGAATTGTGTGCTATTTCTGCAATATATTTGCATAAATCTATATGATTTATTTCATGCGTGTGTATTCCTATGTTCCCTCTTGTTTCTGTTGGTTTGGTAGCGTTAAGTGGAGTCTTAAAACTAGCGAACATCGCGCACTGCTCATAACCAGTAGATCGTTAGTAACACTGAAATTTTTGCTCAAAAGTAATAGAAAACTTATTTGCAGCAGCAAAGTATCTATAGATTTAATTTTATATCACTGCGAAAGAAATACCCTTCTACTCCTCATGCAATTAGCAAAGAAAACAGTTCTACAAAACATTCACACAGTAAAGCCACATATATGTTCACAACCAAAACAAAAGACCCTTTCAGCATTTGCTCAATGGATCAAGGGAAAGTGGAAGAAAACCAGATCAAGTTGAGTGCGTTACTGACACCGCTTACAAACTATCAAGAAATCAAAACAAATGGAATTTTCACATTCCCGGCATTTGCCGATAAAAAATGCACATACACCCCTCTCCTTTGCATAGATGATCAACTGTTAGATGCAAAATTACTGAAGTTTGCCTTGATTGTTATATAGGACATTTTTGCTCTAGGCCAACCAACTGTAGGGTAATTGATTTCAAGAATAATGTATCAGAAGGTTAGTTCAGAAAAAAACATTGCTTATTCAGTCTTTCATGAAATAGCATGCAACCTTAAATCCTACCTTCAATTTCACATGCTTTCATGCACAGAGACAAAGCAAATTTAGTTTCTTATTCATTTTGTCTTTCCACTCTTTTCTTTCTGGCAATCTATTTATTACTTATTTATTTACTGTTAAAAACTGTGTGATGAATAGAGTATTCTGTGCAAGTTCTCTTAAATTCTGGAATCCCAGCCCTAGCAAGATGAATTCTGAATACAGATGGAAATGAGCGTTTTTGGCAAGAATTGACAAGAAAATACACACTTCTGAGTAATAAAAACTACTTGCTAAGGCAAATCAGCTATAGATTTGGGATATTATCCCTCATTATGCCCTACATGAAGGAATCTCCTCACTGGCCAAGAACATGGAGAACAATTTAGATAACTAATTTATTAACAATGTTATTGATTGCATATGATAGATTCTATTAATTAGGTTCCCCTTTATTATAGACAATCAGTTATTTGAAATCAAATTAACAGTTCAGAAATATTGTTTATTTCACATTCAGTCTTAAAAATACATTGTTTCGGAGCTTTATGTCTCCTTCATCAGGTAAATAATTTATAGCTAAAAAAATTTTTTAATTAAAAACATACCAATTAGAAACTGAATGAATAAAAACAATGACATTTTTAAACACAAGGAAATATGTCAATTTTATAAGCAGAATGCATTCAGATTAGGAAGTCTGTTTTATGAAGTTATAAGTAGAGTGAATTCAAATAATGAAGCATATGTTGATAAATAACATTTTTGTTATATAGAATTACAGAAATAATAATCCACATCATTAAATTCCAGTAATTTATCAACATATTAAGTCTTCAGTGATGAAGGTTATAATTAGGACTCCAAACATTAGTGGAGATTCTATGAAGAACAGAGTCAATTTCAATTCTTAAAATGAACGTTAAATGATGAAGCAATAAGGAAGTTACGAGGGGAAGAGAATTTTCTGATTAGAATGGAAAGTACTATTTTATCCTAAGCATACATTTTTACAGGCGATATGTGGAGGGCATATTCTTTAAAACACATAAAGAAGGATATTAGAAATTTTTAATAATTACGAACCAGAAATTCAATTCACCCTTGAACTAGGAAACAATGCTCACTCAAATGATTTGGACATAAAAATCACTAGAGATAACAATGCAATTAAAACTGATTGGTACCACTAATCCGTAGCCACTAATCCGCACTCTAATCCACTACTCCATACCAATAATTCGCAGTACTTTGAACTACAAGTATGGACATCTGACCGGATTTATGGTATTGTCGATAGAATTATGCATATTTAGCAAGAAGAGAATCATAAATGTAATCTAAATGAAATTGAGAACCAATTATATCTAATGATTATCCTAGAAAATTTATTAATTCAAAGAAGTTAATTCAAGTAAGGTTAAATTTCCACAAGACGTTTAATAACCAAACTATTCTTGATAATAATGACATCAAGTTAAATAATGTTTATAATAATGATACAAATAATTTGATGATTCCCTATGTTCTGAAAATTACTAATAAATTCCAGAAAGACATAAAAAATAGATTCAATGAAAAATTCAAGGTTAGATATAACATTTTAAATTAAATAAATGTAATTAAAAATGTGAAGGATGTTATACCACATATGGAAAAAGATAATATTGTTTATAGGATTGATTCTCAAAATTGTGATGAATGTGACAGCACAGACCAGAAGGAAATTAGTAACAAGATTGAAAGAACATGAGAGAAATGTTAGAGAACCTTCAACAACACAGAATTCGGTTAAGACTCATAGGATAAAACCAGGTCACCAATTGGACTTTGAAAATATTAGTATTGCAGAAATTAAAACTAGAAAATTTCCTCTACTAGTTTCTGAAACTTAATATATAAAATTATCTAAAAGTATGAACTCAATGGTAGAATGTAATAATTTCTCTAATGTATATGACAATATTTTATATACAAACAACGTTTCCAATAGTTACTTTTTTCACTTCATTCATTTGAAGTCCTCTTCCTCTCCTTTTAACCCTCGTTCTCTCTTCTTCTCGTAATTTTTTATTGCTACATCATTTAATGTTCATTTTAAGAATTGAAATTGATTAATTGAATTGAATTTGCCTTATTTTACGTGGCGAGACTCGGGCCATCAGGCCCGCTCTTCCGTCTGACCACGCAAATTTCGCTACGCTCCTTTCATGAACTAGCAGAGAAAGGAGGTATTTCTCGGTCGAGAAACATGCGATTTTGAATTTAGCTCAGAGGCGTCATTTAGGCTTGAGGATATTTTACATGCAAGTAAATCTACTAACACGGGACAGCCGGCTTTACTTCCCCTCCGAAGGAAGACGTACGAAGGATTTTTTCGCCCTTAAAAATCCACGGCTTCGATCGGGTATGAACCCGCGAACTTGGGTACAACAGTTCGGTACGCTAACCGTTACACCATCGCCACCGCAATTATAATTTCTTATTACAATATACAACACTAATGTTTCTAGGTCTTTAGTATAACCTTTATCACTGAAGACTGAATACACTGATAAATTATTGTGCTTTAATGATGTGAATTATTATTTACATAATTCTATATTACAAAAATGTTATTTATCAATATATGCCTCATTATTTGAATTTGAATTCACTCTACTTATAACTTAATAAGGTAAGCTTCTTAATCTGAATGCTTTCTGCTTATGCAATTGACAAATTTCCTCATGCTTAAAATTTTCAATGTTTTTATTCATTCAGGTTTTAATTATTATGTTTTTGTTTTTTTTAATTTA